CTTTTCTTTGACGCATGCGCATTTGCATAAATGTCTACACACACACATACACACTACACACAATAAAAAACATAGGAAATAGCAAAAGTGATTACAATAGTTCCTATTGCATTACATGCATAGGAACTAATGATATATTTCACAAAGTCCATAATTATGGTACAGTATTTCAAATCTACAAGTAAGCATGCTGTATCAGACTAAAGATACTGTAATATATGAAGTGAGATTATTTTTCAGATTTCTAGACTTCTAGAAATTAACACACAACCGACTTCATGCTCTTCAATGTGTGTACCATCAACCGTATTTTCCACTGACTTAGGGGTTCAGGTCATTGCCTTATTTTTTACTTTTACTCATGACTTTTCTTATCAGACAAAATCACACTTTAAGGTGTGTGAATCAGCGAAAACATATTTCTTTTTATATCCCATTTGCAGTTAATAACTTATTTGATGCGTTTAGATGAGTTATTTAAAGTTTAAATTGAATTTTGACTTTCTTTTAACAAATAAATGACAGACGATATACAAATCAATAAATGTAATAAAATGTTCTCTAACCACACAATTTTTTAGTAGAAGATGGATTTTTGAAAGACAAATAGGATTTTGGATCATAATATCAGGTAGAAAAAAAGAGTTTTATTACCTCTCCAATTATCAAAATTATTCAAAGGTGAGAAAAATGTTTTATATAGTGTCCTCAAACACAAAATATTGAAAAGTAACAATAATTCTTCCTTGGCATTTCTACAGGTTTAAAATATTTACTTTTGTCAAGGACAGCCTCCAGATGATGATAACACTTTAGTTATTTTTTTATTTTTGAATTGCTGGATCAAAGAACAAAATAACTAAGTTAAACTTGCCAAAGTCGACTGTGCCTAAGTCAAATAATTTCTAAGTCGAACTTATTTTACATGCCAAATTGTGGTGTTTTCCACTAAATAACAATCTGTAAGTCAAATTTTATCAAAGTCGAAAAATATTTCAATGGCATTTTGGATTCGACTTAGGCAAGTTCAACTGTAATGGCAATTCATGTAGCCTTATAGAAATTAATGATATGAATAAACAGTGCTCCCTCAGGCTTTAAAGCGTATTTTACCATACCTTCAAGTAGATCCCTTGCTAAGCCTGGTTCAGTTCCAGTCTCCTGAATGAACAAGGATAGCATACGATCTTCATTTGTCATCTTGCATATAGGTTTCAGTCAGTGCATAGACGGTCACCAAGAGCGAGGCCTGTGGTTCGGTGAAAAGTTGGCGGGTTGAGTTGATTGTGATCGAAGTCGATACCAGACCAAGCATTCTTCTCAGTACTTACAAGAAAACTATGTAAGAAAAAAAAGAATGCAAACATTCGAAATTCACATTTAAGAACGTAAAGTTTTTAGGTGGATCTACCTAAGCCAGAATTTTTTAAATGATGCAATACATAATTTTGTAGAATTCAACAATTTTATATGGAACCATCCAGCTCAGTAAATTGTGCACCACATCTAACTGCTCCCTGTCCACTCCGCTCTACCCAAAAATGAAAAAAATTCATTAAAAAATTTAATTTTTCCTTCATTTTATTCACGCCTGGTATTGCAAAAAGTCTTCCATAATTTTTATATAACTCACAAACAAATAAGTATTTATGAATCCACGGTTCCAAATGAACTGTTTAAATCATCATATTATTTATTGAACACAATACAGGATCATGACTTGAGCCGAGGACTAAAGTCCTTTATCACTTTACTTACCTCACAATTTGAGAATTTTATTATTTATCAACATAATTTTATTCTTATTTTCTCCTCTGCCTGATATAATTAGCAAAACCATTTTGATATAACAAAACCATTTTTTCTACCCTCCTCTGAAACCTTTCAAAAATAAGTTTGCTAAACAACGAATAAAAACCTCCTAAACAATAATATAATAAAATAATATAATATTAAGTTCTTTACTTTTTCAAATAATGTGAGTACTGTGTAGTAGTGATAGCACTCTGCACCAAGGCCATGTAATCATTGCCTATTGAAGTGTTTATTTTTAGCACTGAAAGTTTACTTTTCAAATTCATGTAGTGCCAGATGACAAGTGGATCCATAATGACTCATAGATGAAGTATGACTTAAGTTCTGTATAGCATCATGGCTGCACAAACACCCTGCTTATTTTCAGTCAAACCATGAAACAGGATATCAATACTTTTATTTGGCACCATATAAAATTATGTTAAGCTCTGATCACACTATATCAAATGTGACCCAAGATCATAAAAGGGCTATAAACTCGTCCTCAGCCCAAAATGAGTTTTTGTTATGATAATAATGATAATAATAATAATAGCAACTTTTATAATGCAAACATCTACACCAAAATAGGTGCTCAAGGCGCAGTGTCAAACAGGAGAGAACAAACAAGAATCACAGACATCACAAAAAATTAACATAATATGGCGTAGAACATATCATTTACTTTTAAAATGACAGTTAGATTAACTCAATCAGGTGTCTGGAAGCAAAGTCATGATGGTTTGATTAATTATCAACTTTCTTTCAAGTTTTGAGAAAAATGCCTTTATTTTCGGCAGGTTTCTATTCATTTTTTCATTAATTCCCATCGGAAAATGGCTAAATTTCACCTTTTACAGTTGGAATTTTACACTCAAACTTAAGGAATAGTAAGAATAATAGTTATACTTTATTTATTAAAAACCCAATTCACACAAAATTCATGTTGTACTGCCTATTGAGGCTTGTTTCTCAATACAGCGCGGTGCCAGTTTAAAGCCCTTTTTTGACCTTGGGTTATGAATTGTATGTGCCAAGAACAATTGTGCCTATATTTTTAGTGCAATGTGACACCATCATACCCATATATGGGCACATTACACAAATTTGTCATTTAAAATTTGATGGTGTGGAGAGAGCTTTAGGTTATTTTTTATCTTAAAAATTTGACAAAACTATAATTGACTTTTCTAGCACCAGCTCAAAAAAGTTTATTTTTTATCAAAAATGTGCATATTAAAATATGATGTCATTCTACATATTTTTGATATTAATAAGCAGGTAATTAAACTTTTATGTTGAAGCAATTTGCATTTTCTAAAGTGTTTCAAACCACTGTACTAGGTTAAACCATGGAGAAAATAGAACAGGTTAAACGCAAATGTACAGTGTTGCATTCAATTTAGACAACTTGAGGTAGACTGGAAATCAACAGACCTCACACAAGGTCAGGTTCTAGGCCCCCTGCCAAGACTTCCTTTTTTTCAATTCATCCTTCTCCCACTTTTAAGTACGGATCAATGCCCTTGCTAGGCCACACAACAATGGATGGCTATTTAATCTTTAAATTTACATAGGCCTAGATAGAAACTTGCATGTACTTGACTGCAGTTTCACGCAACATAACATTTTCCTTTAACAGTTTCACAAATATTTTTGTATAAATTCAATTCTGAAAAAAGTAAATTGGGCGGGGGTGTTAATCTAATATTTATTTATGGGGCTTTGGCCTAACCAGACGTAACATCTCATCTTCTTAAAGACAGCCCAAGTTTCATAAAAATTGAATTCTGATAATAATATATCAGATTGCCTAGACGTAGTAGTAGTAGTAGAGTAGAAAGCTGGATAAGCTGCCAAGTATACCTGCCTAGACTTTCCCTATGATTCCTAAAAGTTACCTTGATGCTAGTTCAAGTAATTAATACTATAGGTGGTGGTAGTAGTAGTAGCAGCAGCAGAGTAAAAAAGTGCCACGGGCTAAAATTATTGTGTTGGATCATTGCATCGTTGCAATGCTGTTTTTAAATGTCTGCTAAAAGTAGAATTATCAAAACTTATTAAATACAGTTGAAGTCCAGGTATTACAGTCCCGCATTTACAATTTTAAATTGTATATATTATATTACTGTACATTAATTTAATTTATACAGAACGAAACAAAGAGCAAGCCAGGCCAAGGAGTCTCTAGCCTATCCTCGGAATGCTCCTTACTGACAAACAAGTGCCTGCTTAGAGTCAGTTGACGGCAGACTGACGACAGAGTAGTGACGCCTCTTTGTGGTTGATGGAGAGGCACAGACACTTGTTGTTGTGTATGCATTTCCACAGCTGACACAACATAGGCCTACATTAATTGTTCGTCTTTTAATTACAATATTAATCGTACTATACTACTGATAGTAAATAGTATACTCACGTTAGATACAAATTCATTCACTTTGTTTGCAGATAGGCCTACCTAGGCCTAGCCTACCTTCTGTTTAGTAACTCACGTCCCTCGTCCATTCGATCGTTTGACCTTGAGCAGCAGTGGTGCAGATACTACTCGAGCTCTTTTGTGGTGCAGTGTTTACCCCACGCACGGTTCGTAGGCTTTTCAAGTATAGAGGGCGCTCGTCACGACGCATTTGCAATACAATAATACTAAAACTTGAGTGTCTAAAATAAAGTACTAGGCCTAGTGTAGTCCTTAAGCATAGACATTATTGAATTTTATAAATGTATACCCCGATCTTTAATCTGGATAATTATAATAAAAATAATATTTATGATTTTATTTTTATTTTGCATGGGATTTTCTATGCAGCAGCACCCAGGCTCTGGAATGCATTACCAATTGAACTCCGCAGATGCAGTTCGCTTGATGTCTTTAAAAAGACTCTTAAAACACATTTATTTCAAGTTGCTTTTAATCATTAATTGTTTTTATCATTGTACTTTTATAATGTTGATTTATTATTTTCCATGTTTAGTATGCTTGTGTGCGCCTCGGAATTCATTCATTCATTCATGGATTTGATTCAATAGGTTTACCTAGATAGATGGCGCATTATAAATGTATTATTATTATTTATTATTATTAATAGTAAATTATCTCCCTAAGGGAGAGCTCCCAGTTTGTTTTCTACATATTATTAGTAGACGCAATTAAATAAGCATTTGAAACCCCTAAATTGTAATATTTTTTCTGGGGATTTTGAGCAACGCCCATTTGTGCCCACTTTGCTCCCCACAACCCCCGTCGGGCAAATCCTGGCACCACCCCTGATTCTACAGGCGGTTGAAATGCTTGATGAGGTGTTGAAAGACGTGTTCTGAACAATATTTGATTTGAACAAGTTTTTGCTTATCAAAATCAGGATATCTTTGATAGCCCTGTTTTTGATGTTTTCAAGTTAAACTGGAACAAGAAATACAGAACACAAGACAAGCATTTCCATTATAGTGATTTAATTGACAGACACTTACAAAATGTAAGCATTGATTATTTATCATTTTAGTTTTATTTTGCATGGGGCTTTCTATGCAGTCGCACCCAGGCTCTGGAATGCATTACCAATTGAACTCCGCAGATACAGTTCACTTGATGTCTTTAAAAAGACTCTTAAAACACATTTATTTCAAGTTGCTTTTAATCATTAATTGTTTTTATCATTGTACTTTTATAATGTTGATTTTTTTTTCTTTTGTTTTTTTTTTATTTTTATTTTCCATGTTTGTGTGCGCCTCGGAATAGGTTTACCTAGATAGATGGCGCATTATAAATGCATTATTATTATTATTATTACTTTGTCAATACATTTTTGTCAGATTGGATAATATTCTATAAACCAAAAATGACAACCCAGTAAAAATTTAAATGAAACAGGCAAGTCATGCAATGCGACATTGTGCATATTATTCAATTGTGCAGTTTTGTTTATCATATTTAAGAATATTATCGATTCCAATATTTTCTCTCATTCTTTAACTGTTCAAGAATTATTATAAACTATATGTAGCATAAAATTAGCCAACATAAGTGCATAAGTGGGGAGCAAACCCTTAACAAATTATCAGAAATGTCTTCATCTACAGTCTGCTATTCAGTGCCATATCAAAGTGAGAGCTTTGCTCCACACCCTCATCCCCGAGCAAAAAGTAGCACCTCTTTTGAATGGGAATTTGCTGAACAAAAACCACACGAGTAGTTTTAAAAATCACTTCACTCTTCGTCGGCTAGCACTCACTCACTATTCGTCTCTTATTCAAATGAAAATGTATACTCTTTAATTGTTACGAAGTAATATACCGTAATGAATTTGAACGCAAGTATTCAATTAAACTTAAGACAATATTATTTTGAACACAGAAAGAATAACAACATTCCATAAAATGCATTGAGAATAGTTATATTTATTTATTTGCAATATATCTCCATGTGTCCTTCGCACTTTTAAATTCCATCTACATTTATTAATACTATGTTACTTTGTAAGAAGTATCATTCTTTATAATGTAAAATTCCATTTATATACCTTAGATCTATTATTATTGAGTGGACTTGTGCTTTGGTGGCTAACCTTTGAACCTCAATAGAACTTTCCACTAAGCCACACCCCTTGGATATTGTTGCTAAGGTCCAACAAAATGGCAGTGTAAATGCCTGTACATACTTGCAACGATAACGATAAAAAGCAATTTTTCATATAGAAAATAAAAGAAATAAAAGCAGTTATTACACTAGGACGATACACAATAAAAAATAATTTCACCAATCAATTCAAATGACGTCATAATCATTGAAAAACGATAAAATCGTAGTAGTAACGATTTTATTGTTTTCTATGATTATGACATCACTTGGATTGATTTCTCACAATATTTTGTTATCGTATTCACTAAAAATCATTATCGAATCGTCTAGTGTAAAAACTTCTCTTATTTCTTTTATTTTTCTATATTAACAATTGCTTTTTAGCTTTTAATCGTTAACATTATTTTTGCAAGTATAAACCAATGTTGTGATAATAGAAAAGTGAAATAGACACAGTATTAGAAAATATGCTTCTGATTTTCGGTTTGGTATAAAAATAAGAGCACGATAACTTTAAAACAGAAAAAAGACTTATTATTATTTAATAATCCAGTATTATATTTTGTTTACACAGATAAATACAAGCACACAGCTTAAATGAGTATGGTAGTTTTATGTGTAAATAATTGCAAGAATAACATTGGTTGTCAGTCCTGTTTTAAGTGTCATATTGCAGCATTTTACAAGGGTCCCAGAAATATGCAATATGTGTTATAAAATTTTGTATAAGCAGATCTCCAAGAAATTGCTTCTTCTAACTTTGGATCCCTGGTGTGTCATATGTTGTAAGTGTTAGTACAGCACATATCAGTAATACCAAAATCCCTATGGGCTTATGTTTCAATGGTCGCTGGACACAGAACGTGCAACCTCCACCACTCATTAGTATAAAGTTTCAAGTGTCTCAACTAATTCACCTTACACAATTAAATCCTAAGTTTTGTCAGAGAAAGACAGAAAAAAGTATCTTGCCCTACGACACCAGCAATACGACCAGCACAACAAGTATAACGGTCCTTAAGTACACCACGCCATTATATCCCAGTAAGACTAAAGCACTGTCCACACTATCAAATTTGATGTAACAAACAACTGTGATAAGCCCATATTTGTGTGTGTACTATGACATCATCATACCCAAATATGGGCACATCACACAAATAGTTTGGTAGTGTGGACAGAACTCAACAGTCAAATCACTGCCATGCCTACAGGAAAAATATTAAAAACCTACTATCACATTTATTAGCCAAAATATCTAATTCATTATAGTGTATGCTAACAAAATGGTTTTATTTACAGAGAATTGTTTTTTAGCAATAAAATATTAAAACCAGATGAAATTATTTTGATAAATTTGATTTCTAAGTGTAAGGCAATGTCAACACTAAAAAATTTTATGTGAAATAAGTGTGATATGCCCATATTTGGGTGTAATATGACATCATCTTGCCTATATATTGGCACATCACACAAATTTGTCACTTGAAATTTGATAGATATCTGGTTAGATATCTGCCAAAATGATCTTGTGTTGTTGGGTAAAAAATATTATTCTAATTTAACCTTTCCTTTCAGATAAGAAATTAAGCTGTTGGTCCTGTATACATAATGGCTTTGCACACTAAAAAGAACTCAGTACTGTATACATTTTGGTAGAAGACTCTGGAAAATATTCTTCGGTATATTGACCGATTCACTTCCTGTTTTGTGTGTATTTGTACATCTGTGATGATAAGAGTATAAGGGATTGCCATTTATATATAAGCAATGATGAACTGCGATCGGATAGTTCCAATCCTTAACAACACATATACCGTAGTTATTCTTATTATTATTTTGACTGTAGTTAAGTGTTTTGTAATTCCACATTTACAGTGAAATTAAGAGAGCATTTATATAAGTATATACATATCCATTTTACCAAAAAAAATAAATGCCTCTCTTGAATAAACTCCCCTTTCAAAAAAACCTTCTCAACAATGAACGCCATGGGGTGTTCATTCGAATAAATATATAAACCAAATCAATCCAATATTATGTAACATTATGTTTCCAATAATTAATGATGTAAATATCTTATTTACAGCTCCAACTTTTCGGGTTACTATATATTTACAAGCAAATTAATTCTAATCAACATCATATTAATTAACCTCATTAACATGATGTTAATTACTCATTACACATGACAATCTTTATGCTGCATAGCAATCATATTTACATTCTTTTAAGGTAATATCTTAAAAAATAAAGTTTGCTTTATATTTCTTCATTTCTAATTGTTTAGAGAATTCTTCTGTGAGAATTGGTCTCATTATTTGTGCAATTTCAGCTAAAGCAACTTTAAAAATAAATAATATGCACCAGGTTAATGAATTCCATAACAGATATTAACAAAAAGGAAACAAGCTTCATTAAATTAACAAGCATAAAAGCAATATTGGCAATGTTAAATAATATTAAAAGAATATATTAAAATGAATTTTTTTTAATATCAGCCTTTGAATTGTTTTAAACTTAGTACGAATTGATGTTTACAAAACCGTAAAACTAAACTATAAAGGGCAATATAGCTTCAATTTTTATAATAAAGGTAGTTTGATGCAACATAAAAAATACATACTTTTAGAAATCATTTGGAAACTAACTTCATTAAATTAGTAAATACTGGCAATGTTCATTAATTTATAAAAATATTAAATTGAAGTTTTTTTTAAATCAGCTATTAAACTGTTTTAGATTTAGCACAATGTTTACAAAACTGTAAAAATACCAAACTATGGAGGGCAATATAACTTCAATTTTAAACTAAAGGCGGCAGTATAACGTAACATAAAAAAACAAACTTTTAGAAATTATTTGAAAACTAACTTCATTAAATTAGTAACAAGTATTAAATCAATATTGGTATTGTTAGATAATTTTAAAAATTATTTCAGTTAATTCTTTTTTTAAATCAGCTATTAAACTGTTTTAAACTTAGCACAATGTTTGCAAAACTGTAAATACCAAACTATAGGGGGCAATATAGCTTAAATTTTAAACTAAAGAAGGCAGTATAATGTAATATAAAAAAACAAACTTTTACAAATTATTTGCAATTCTAATAGTTTTTTTCTCCATCAGGATTCAAACATGACATGACCCTCTAACTACCATTACGTTGCTCAACCAATTGACCTACAGGGTTCTAGTTGGTCCCTTTTGGACATTCCCATTAGATATTACGTAATACACAATCCATTGATAAGCCTCAATTATTATTATTTTGTGAAATGAACTGGTTACATTAACCATTGATCATTTTAAAATCTAATTATAAAATGCATAATTAACCATACTGAGATAAGCACATCTAAGCTTTCTCATACACATTCTTTTTATCATTATTGCTAATAGACACCTCCAGTGAGATGTATTACAGTATTGAACACTCTGCACCACCGAAGAATCCTTTCCTGCTTTGTGTGAGTAATTGATGATGCAACGCTATCTGCTGATTATCAGTGGCAGTAAAAATGATGACATGGGCTTGACATAATCACGTCGGCCAACACAGTGTGTGCGTGCCCAGCTTTATACGTTTTACGAGTAATACGTAAGCACACTGGTTTGGTTTCCCCGCATTAGGACTATTGGGGGCAAGTCCTTAGCATTGCATAATGTTTCAAGCCATGCCATGTACATATACGCTGAACAGGCTTCTTTCCTAGGCATTGGTAGAGTCCTACAACAAAGAGTAAATGACAAAATGTTAATACTATAGGTCTATGACAATGCATTTTAAACTGGGAAAACATTAAACTAAATTTTTTTTATTAATAGGTTTCTACATAAATAAAAATGAAAAACTTTTTTTTTTTTTAATGTCGAAAAATTATGACAACTGTTGGAATCTGATAATTAATTGATTGGTTGATTGATTGATTGCATGATTGATTGACTGATAACTGATAGTGTTTCCAATAACTATAACAATAATTAAAACAATAAATAATATAAAAATTAAATAAATTATAATTTCAACAGCAAGAGTGGCAGCATTGGCAACAAAACAATTATAACCATGATGATAATGATAAAGATGCTTCATAATATAATAATTTATATTTAACTTACAAGAATATTAAATTAGCATCCTTAGAATGTTTAAATAACAGTTCTCTCAATCGTATATGTCGATATGTTTTCTCTTTCAAATTCTTCCTCTCCTCTTTAGTGATGTACCCTGGGAAATCTTTAACATCTTGGTCGGCAGTCAACATAAATGGTTCAACAAATGACTCAAATGTTGCCAAGCTAAAAAGAAAAGCAACAACAGTCAGCACAAATAAATTCATCAGGTTTGTTGAAATATAGATTAAGTGTTCATAATCACAAACCAAATGGAGTAAACTCAAGTTTTAAGTCTGATCAAAGAATGACAGACAAATCTTATATAGTACACATGGGCTTAGGAAGAGGAATATATTTGTTGGTAGGGATTGGACCCAAGATTTTAGAATTGCAAAGCGACCACCTATTAAACCACCATACCACAACTCCCCTTCAGAATAAAAATTTATCAACAAATCAAGGTACATAAAGAAAAACCAGTGGTTTTCTTGGTCATTACTCTATATGCAAAATATATGAATGAATATATTAACTATACAATAAATATTCACACATGCTAATTAAATACAGCTTACCTGACATCCTGTGGTTTTTTGCCAATGTCTGGTATAATCTCCACACTGTGGCAATCAATACGAAATTTGCTTAGCATGTTAGCCATGCTGTAAAACAAAAACAAAGCAAATAACATGTCATATTATTTACATTGTTATGCTGGGTTGCCTTGTTTTCTATTGTTTTGTAATTTTGTTCATAATGCAACATTAGCTTAATTTATGTGTGTACCTGATTTTTTCTTTTTCTATCTGGTCTTTCTTTCCACCTGCAAAGACTCTAAGCTTGCATCGCTCCCACTGTCGTCTTAGAGTTAAAATGTGAGGGATAAGTAGGGTTAAACCTGAGGAGAGGAAGAAGAGAAGAATTACAAAAAAAAAGTTGATAATATTTATTTGATTAATACCATTCTTTTTGAACCAATTTTCTAATATCTTAGATCTGATATCTCATTACAGTAAAACGTCCATTTTACGAACGTCAATTTTAAAAATAGTCAATTTTATGAATAGTCTTTGCACCTGATGACGTCATCATTGACCAATTATTACCGTAAAAAAGTCCGATTGCGCACGTTTTACAAAGTGATTATGTATACAAGTTTTTTGTATTTGTTTATTAATAGTTTGATCTTTTGTTCCATTTCTGGTATAATAATCACTATATTAATGTAATAAACCTAACCAGAAGAACGAACTACCAAAGCAAGTGTCGTCGCATTCAGTGCACACGTTTATTACGACGAAAAAAGAGTGTTGAGGTCAGCAAAATATTGACATTATGAATGCTAGATATGATCGCGAAATGTGTAAACAACACAACTCAGCGATCTAAATACTACAAAGAACATGATAGAAAGGTCCATAAAACATACATATGTTTGAATAAGAGTTAAAATAATATTTTGTTAAGTGGAAAAATGCCAGCGATAATTTGGTTTTTTATCCAAGGTAAATTCAGCTTGGCTATATTGCGGTAGACCAGGCTGCTGCACTCTCGGTTCGTGCTAGGCCTACTGGCTGTCAGCCTACAGATAGGCCTAGGTATTGGAAACTGACACCCGCTCTAGTTCCCATATTTTTCAATTTACGAACACCGCTTGATACCAAGGAGTACATACAGTGGACACTTTACTGTATTTTCTTTTTAAAATTTCTATTCAAAATCGTTTTCTTAAGGATCTCAAATATTATTTGATGTCATGATAAACACATGTTATTTGTCCATATATTAATAATAATAATAATAATAATAATAGTGTAGTTTTATATAGCGCACAAATCCATCTAATATAAAATGCTCAGGGCGCTTGAAATGTGGACTAGGGACTTTCTTCGCCCCTAAGGGTGCCTTCGTGTCTGTGCTACCCGGTAACCCGGTACCAGCAACTCTCGTCATCCACCACAGGGGCTGTCTGTTCCAGTACACCGGGGTATCCCCCCCTACTCGTCTCGAAGGATGTACCGAGTTCTTTATAGTGCACACGAGCCATTGTATACACTGGGCCTACGGTTTATAGTCCTTATCCGAGAAGACTTGTCCTACCACCAGAACCATAGGCGAGCGTGCCATTCGAACCAGCGCCGATATTATGGCTATAGCTTGCGGAGCCCCTGCTAACCGCTCGGCCATTTGACTCACCTTGTATGATATGACATCATCATGACCAAATGATTATTACATCACCATGGTCATATATAGAAAATTCACACAATTTGTCGCTTAAAATTTGACAGTGCGAATTGACCTTGAAACAATTGAGTGCGTATCCTTTTCACCACCAGCCTGCCAGACGGGAAACAAACCATTTTCAACTTACCTCCGTCATCGAACAACCACCAGACGTCTATGGTTCCCTTAGCTTGCTTGTCTTGAAATGCATTGACTGACTTGATGACACTGCCAGGCCTATGGCCTTTAATTAAGGCTGTGCTGTCCTCAAGGGGTCTGCCTGCCACCTTCAACTCCTTTTCGGAGGAGGCTTCGGAGGCCACTGTTTCCCCGCTATCCTCAAGGATTAAAGGTTCTGCTTCATTAATTGTCTGCTCAGATGCTGATTTGAAAAAAAAATGATATTGATAGTAATCAAAGATCTTATAAACACAAGATAGCGTTCTCCACGATTCATTCATTCAATTAACCATTCATTACTATATTATTACAAATAGAGATGTTTCCTATGTTTTCCTACAGAAGCAGAATTGAATTGTCTTTCTATGATTACTCATCATGGTACGAAAACACTGTAATTTTAGAAAGTATTATTTATTTACTGAGCAATAGCATTATCGCATACCAACAGTACGCCAAACTAATTGTGTTGCCGGAGCCTGACTGACCAATAACCCTGGAAATCTAGGATGGGATTCCTAAAAATTCCCCCGCCCCACCACAGCCAAAACTGTGATTACAAAAGGAATGATTTTTATATTTGATACCTTAACCAGTGATTTTAGCACAATGGCTACAATGTTACCAACCAAAAGGCATGGAGTGAGTATGAGTAATGCTTAGCTACAGGGAGACTTAAAATACACATTAAAAAGAATATTACAGAAGGGTGAATTAATTTACTCAGTAGATAAATCGCAAGTTACACAAAGTGAATACTAACGTTTTGGTAGATTTGATCGACCGTTTTGTTGCGCTTGCATATTAAGAGCGGCAGACACATCTAAGCCTTGTGGGAAGCGTAGGATGGCGACCCCATAGTTCAGGTCAAATGCATCACTAGTAATAACAGAGAACAAAAAATAATCACTTGTTAACATTTACTTGTTGACACTGATTTTTTAAAAAGTTTCTTTTTTATCCTAATGATATTGGACTTTATCATTACTAGTAGTTATTTATTGAGATAAATAACAGAAGAATTCCATCAAAAGGACAAAATAAAGAAGTAAATATGAATTGAGAAATAATATAAAAAAATTTAGATTTATATACACATATTGCACATTAACTTCTTAGCAATAAGAAAGAGTATGAGGTGCTATAAAACCTGCAAAAGCTGACCGAATGGTATCTACCACCACCATGATTTTGCTATAAGCAAAATGCTGCAAGAAAACACTTCAATTTCTAATGATAAATACATAAACCCTTCAGTATTATGAACAGTGAGAACACAAGCATGAGGGACTCATATGTACTTTGCTTTAAGAATCCCTACTATCAAGTCAATAGTAAACAAGCTCAAGTCCTGGGAATGAAATTTAAAAGGATCTGCAAAAGCCTGAAGGAAGTATACTATGCACCATGGTTCCAGGAAATAAAATGCTAACTCTCCTGTGAAAAATTGGCAAAGTATACTACCCAACATGGGTCCTGAGAAAACGCTAGGAGATCTTCTGCGGAAGGTTAGCAAAGTATACTACGAACCATGGGACCTAAGAATGAAATGCTGGCAGATCTACAGTAGAATTTGGGCAAAGCACACAACCTACTATCGGTCATGAGAATGGAAGGCTGCAAGGTCTCATTGAAAAACGCAATAATACAATTACATTGATAAGCTGTTAAATATTTCAGAATGCTTGTCTCTTGTAACAATAGAATAAGCTCAGAAAATGTAGCAACACTTTCAAATAGCATTTTAAACATTCTAGCATTTGCACTCTACTTATTAAAGATGGACTGCATTAATAATTAAACTCTTACGTAGCACATTTTGTGCAAATGCTTCAATCAAAATTTACAGAGAACTATTAGTCTGAAATAATAGCAAAACTGTTCATTTATTCATTTTGGCACATACACTCTTGCACTCATATTCTTCATATAACATAATTGTGATCAGTAGATGGCTTTTCTATTCAAAAGATACAAGTATTTCATTAATCAAATTTATATTACAACAAGTATACATAAAACAAAAAACACAAAATTACATTGGCAAAAAATAATTATGATATAATTTTGTTTATTTGGCAGTTTTTCTAAAGCCATGTCCAGTATACGGTCATGATGTGATGTCATCATGACCATATTTAGGTATGTCACATGTTTTTGCCAAATGAAATTTGATAGCGTGGACAAAAAAGAAAATATTATAAAAGCCTTTGTGTTGGTGTCTTGCTAATATTGCCAGTACACAAAATCCACTAAAATACTATTAGTCAAGAGATGAGTCGATTTAGTGCACATTTGTCATAATATGATTTTTGTGAGGGACATACTGTGGTACATCAAGTCTTAAGTGTTGTGAGCGATGTGCTTTGAGGTGAGAGGTCAATGACCTACTTTTTTTGACCAAATTTTACCAATATCTATATTTTAGGGCACAGCATTTGGTAACATGCATCAAAAGTATTGGAAATAGGCTCATTCTAAAGCTGAGGGATCATACTATATAGTGAATATCACTACAGGTCCAAAATATTGAGGAAAAACTCCATGTTTTTTTCCATTTTTTGGTAAAATTTTGTATTTCTATTTTGATTAATTACCAATATAATACTAATTACAAATACTTCAGATTTTTGTCCAAACAACTTTAAAAACTGCCTCTACTACATAGGATCCTATATCGAAAAGAAAAAAAATTCTGATTTTGATTCACACATACAGGTTTTAATGAGAAAATAGTGAATTTTACTCATTTTTGCACAACTTGGTTCGCATGAAATTCAGGTTCCAATGCTTTCATAAAAAAAAAACAACATATATAAATTTAACTTAGATACACACAATAAAAAGCAAGGTGCACATTACATAAAAATGGTCAGAAAAACAAAGCATAAACATTTGGTAAGGTATGGCATATGTACAGAATACTAAAAAAAAAGTATATTAAATTATCTCTTGAAAACTATATAATAATGGGATAAATTTGTTAATGAAAGAGTTTCTTGATCTATATGAATTGCAATTAAGGGTACGAGATAGTTTAGGCCCTTTGATAATACTTACTGGATAATGCCAACATAGTCAACTACATTGCTTGAAATATCTTTCCGCCAATTAGATTTGAAACCTAGAAACATGGTATTGGGCCTCAGTTTACCAAGACCACTAATCTGAAAGGGAGAAAATCCATTAAAAAAAAGTTTAATTATTAAAATGAAAAAACGTGAAATCCATTACAAGATAAAATACAATGTATTACAACGTAATTTGATTTATTTCACTTTTACATTCTGTTGATGCTTCTATTATCACACATCGTTTTTTATCAAAAGACGTATAGATAGATATAACAGCACCCTGTTAAATTTATTCATGAGCACTCACTAGCAATGATGCCAGCTTCATTAGGTGAGTCATTAAAGAGTCTGCGATACTAAGGCGAGACTTGTTTATACCTTGGTTCGCAATCTTATTTTATTTAAGATTGTCACAGGAAGGCAGAAAAAAAAAATTGTTTTCTCATTTAGCAAAATGATTTTGCCCAAACCCTGTATGTGGAGGAGAAAATAAAATTTCATCAATAAACAGTATAGTAATGAGATTAAAATCCTTTAAATTTATATAATTAAGGACGAAATATACATATCTTATTTTTGGAGATTTCAGGGGAGTGGAGGGCATAAGAAAAATAATTATAATATATTTTGTTTTAATGAAAATCTTTTTGTAGTGGAGAGTCCACTAACTGGCCAAAAATAAAATTTAATTTTTATTCAAAATCACCATTATTGACAGTCGGCAGTTTCGCTAAACAAGGTATAAAAAAAAGTTTCACCTACAGAACTATAAAAAAAAAATACATATTTTAATTGTTTAATTTAAGTATACATAAGCCTGGTTCTCACGAGAGCCCTAGTATCCAGATCGGAAGCTAATCGTTAGCGCTAACCGTTAGCACCTGCGTGATAACGCCCGATCGGTTAGCGCTAACGTTTAGCAAGCGCTATCGGTTAGCAAGTTGAGGGGCATTTCTATCATCAACCAATCACAGGTAAGCGTTTACAATTTCCAGTTTCTTATTGGCCAGTGATTCGATCATCATATTGTTGGTATCCAGATCGGGATTTTCTCGCAAGGACGCACGGCAACTAACGGTTAGCAGGATCCGGATCCTGCTAACCGTTAGCTGCCGTGTGAGAACATAGCCTAAATTTCTTAGGATAAAATATTTTCTTCACCTATTACTTCATTTGGTTTGATAAATAGAAGTTAATTTATTAGTAGCAGTAGTTGAGAGAGGGTAAACGACTCACCTGTAGTAGACTCTGTGCTCCAGACCTTAGCGATTTGGATATAATAGGTGAATAGAAGCCCTTAATTTTTTGTCTGAGTAGCCAATTAGTATGGTCATTCATTATTGAGGTCATTTGGTCACGATTTTCCTCTTGGTTACCCTGGAAACAAAAATAGAAAAAAGTTTAATGGTAAATTTCTATTTGGCAGGGTAATGGACAAAAAACAAATTACAGTGTAGTACTTTAAATTTCCAATGCGAATGTTGAATTATGGTTAAAATACATAAATAAATCGTTTCATTACCTTAAATGGTAATACATTGGCTTAACTTATTCATATTCATTTCATCATCAATCATCATCGTCAAATTATGGTCTATTATTATTCCATGCAAGCATGGGTTAAACTGTACTTGTAATGGCAGCTTTCCATTCTGCACGATTCTGTGCAAGCTCTTTTTTCAATCCCTTTGCACGAAGGTCATCTCTAATCGTGTAAGCCCAGGTTTTGCAGGGTCTACCACGTCCACTGTTACCATTAACCACAAGATGTTGGAGCCTCCTCAGCCAGTTGTCTTCATCTCTCCTTTGGGGATGTCCAAACCAACGTAAATGCCTTTGCTGTATCATATCCAGAATTGAGGTTGTACCTCATTTGAGTTCTGTATATATACACGTATTTACGTGTATATATACACGTATTTACGAATGGAGAGTTTTTTTGGTTTGTTTTCTGTTTGTACTGATGATGGGTCCATTAAATCCTTAGTTCTTCTTAAAATGTGTTGCTTTTCATCAATTTATGGCCGTTGGGGTCCAAAATCAAGGACTTTAATTCCAAAGATCTGCCTATTTGTTTACTCAGGAAGTATATTTCATCAAAGCTGAACTGGATTGTAATTTCTTACATTCAGATGGTATTTTAAATTTTTTTGCGTCAGGAGAAATAATATGAAATGATGTTTGCCCTACCTGACGTTTTATAAGTACTGAATGCTTAGTATACATTCCCAAATACTTGCAAAAAAATCTTGAAGTGATTCGGGTGGGAATCAAATCCACGACCTCCAGGTAACTAGCCTGATGTCTTAACCACTAAACTACAGAGCTTGAAGAAGCTGATCCCCAAGTAGCAGCATGTACTGCAATGTTATTCCGATGGCGTTTTGTGCGTCAGGAGAAATAACACGAAATGATGTTTGCCTACCTTTCTTACATAATAATAAATAAATAATTTACTTACTATAACAACATTTCCACATATAAGAAGACTGTTGTTTTTAGTGATATGTGATACAAAATGCACTAAAGCTGGACGGCATTCTGGTGCCCCACTTAAAATGAGGCACTGAGGTCTGAAGAAGAAAAGTATGCCAGTGTTAAATATCACATTAGTTTGCCTCCACATAAAATTATAGCAATAAAGGTGAGGTAGATAGCACTTTAAAGATTAACACACTTTAATGTAAAAATAATGAGCTTTCATTAATGTTGTAAACTAATTCATGTGAAGAAATCAGTAACATTAAGTTCACAACATAAGCAAAAGGCCATGGTTTTTTAATCGATTATTGATATATAGTTAGGCTAAAACAGCAACCCAAACTACAATTAGAGAAAATAAAAGGATTCAGCCAAAGTACATGTAATAAAATCAACTGTTTCTCTTTCATCTCTGAAGTATTAACTAAGATAGCAAATAAAAATCTACATATTCACAGTTTGTAGTTGGGCTAAAACAGCAACAACCTAAACTACTTTATAACATAATTAGAGAAAATAAGGAAAATACAAGGAAGCAACCAAAGTACATGTAAGAAAATCAACTGTTTCTCTTTTATCTCTGTGGTATTAACTAAGATAGCAAATAGAAATCTAGTAAAAACTTATGATTTAAACCATCACAGATGGTATATCTTTAATATACATTATCATATGATCCAATTCATACATGTATGAATTATCAATGCACCTAATCATTTATAACAAATAAAAGACTAAAGTAGAGAGTAGGATTGGGAGTAAAGATGCTTGACTTCACATGCAAGAGTTATGGAAATCCTGCTAAATCAAAGGTGGGCATAAAAATTGTTCAGAGGGCCAAAATGAATTTTTGATTTAACACCGAGGGCTGCACACCTAAATATTGATGCTTCTAGTGTGCTTCCAAAAACCATGCATGCTGTTATACCACTTTATTCTCGGTTTTCACTTTTATTGGTTTTGGGCCATAAAGGTGTTTTCTAGCCAAAGATGTGTGGTGGGCCGCAAACATAAGGATTTTAATTCATTTTCGCAGACCACAAAAAATAAATTACTGTCAGGCCACACTTTGCCAAACTGTGTGCTCAATTAAGATATCTTTTTAAATTTTAGAACATCTAAGTCTCATTATGAAACTTAACAACAGAAAACAATAACACTGATTTTATGAATATAATAATCAATAGTCGGATATTACCTGAATGTTTTAGTGTGTTCTGGTATAGTTAGCAATTTCACAGTGCACTGTAATGCTTGTTTATATGTTAGTGCTTGTGTTGAAGAGCCCCAGTTAATTTCTGAAAAGCCAAAAAAAAAAGGGGTTTAATAAAAATAATAATAAAACCACATCTATACAATGAGTGACATGTAAATCTCCAATTTCCACGCAATCAAATTTCCTGTGATATGCCCATATTTGGGTATGGCATCCATTATGCCCATATTTGGGCATATCCCACAAATTTTTGACATAAAATTTGATAGGGAGGACAAAGCATAAGACTTGGAATGAGGTGGTGCAAGCCAATCTTAAAGCAAAAGGCTATAAAGTGATCCAGCCCAGGAAAGATTACAGTAGAAATAATATCCATGATCAGGGATGTAGTTGGGCGGTGGTGATTATGATGATGATGATGATGATGTCATCATCATTATCAACAGAAGGATGATATTACTATGACGATGGTGATGAGCATTATTTCTATATTGTATATATTCATTTTCTATAATTGAAAATAGACAATAAGTTCTAAAAAAAAAATTGGTATATCTGTGAAAATATGAAAACCTTTACCTGGTTTTTTATGATTGACGTATAGATATAGTGCTCCTACTACCGCTACGGTAAAACACGCCGCATACCAATTAATAAGAAACATAACAGCAATACAGATCACGGACGCTAACAGTGCTACCCATTTATTATAATATTTAAAAGCAGGACGCCAACCTATAAAAAGAAAAGAACATTTTAATAGTTAAACATAGCAATAAAATTATAAAATAATTTATGCATATATATAATATTTATACATAGCATTTATATAGCATATAAAAAGAAAAAATATTTTAATATTTATACATAGCAATACAATTATATAATATTTATGCATATATATAATATTTATACATAGCATTTATATAGCATATAAAAAGAAAAAACATTTTAATATTTATACATAATACATATATATAATACTTATAGATATATATAATATTTATACATATATATAATATTTATACATATATATAATATTTATACATAGCATTTATATAGCATATAAAAAGAAAAAACATTTTAATATTTATACATAGTAATACATTTATATAATATTTATACATAATACATATATATAATATTTATACATATATATAATATTTATACATAGCATTTATATAGCATATAAAAAGAAAAAAACATTTTAATATTTATACATAGTAATACAATTATATAATATTTATACATATATATAATATTTATACATAGCATTTATATAGCACACAAATCTCTTATTATCTATATCAACACTGAGGTTTATGGAGTAGAGCTGATATTAGTAGTGAGAAGAAATCCTGGTAGATTTGAAGCCAAGATTCTGGTATTGGAAAGTGAGATCCTTAATCACCACACTACACTCTGATGAATGAGTAAATCCCATTAGAATTCAGAAGTAGTTGCACCATGTTAATTATATAGACTGATGATTATTATCTAACTTGAATTATCCCCTTTGGATTGAGATGTTTGCAGATTGCACTCAGCTGCTTTCATCCACCAGGGATAATGAGAATCAGAAGCAGTTGAAGACTGATTGTGAAAATTGCCATTTCAAAATTAGGTATCATTATAATGCCTGATGTCTGGATGCTATGATCATATTTGAATAGCGATATGAAATAAATGCATCGTAAAACCCATTTATACTACATGATGTAATTTGTATTACGTATAGGCATACCCTCATGACCATTTAGTTACAATAATGTACCGTACATTTGTGAATATTATTATTCATCCAGGTAAGTATAATATATAATGCAAAAGTTACTAGTAAATCCTTTGATGGATCCTGGATTGGAAGCGAAATATTGTCATGAAATATTTCCAGTAGAACAGATTTATTTCTTTACATTATATAATAATTTACCATGTTTTTCTCATTGTCAGTGTTTTTTCTGTCAAGTTTAATGCACATAGAAAAGGCTAGAACATGCTGTTGCAAGTTGCACTTTAATACAAATTGAAATTAACTGTGCATTATACATTTTATTAATATCATAGAAAAGTGATAACAATTTTATTAGTAATATTATAAAACTGGAAATGATTATAAACCACAAGCTTTGTCTGCAATACTGAGTTTCATGAGACAAATATATTATGTGACATGGTCATATATAGACATGATCATGTTCACATGGGCAAACTTACAGGTGTTTGTCTTGAAAGTGGAGGCTTTAGTGTGATTGGGAGAATGCAAATATGGGGGCTTGCCATTCCAAAAACCAGAGTATGGTTTCTAATTATTAAACTGAGTAATTAGCATAGGAATGTGGCAGTATTGTATACATCTACGCATACATTGTGGCAATAGTAAGTAAATTCCAGTAAATAGCATATCATTTTAAAGCTTATATTGTGGAGAATATGATTATAATAAAAAGTTAATTTTAATTGGTTGGTCACTAGTGCTGGTTTTGGCAAGGCATGCGCCATATCACATCTATATATGAACAAAATGGCACATATTTTGACACATATATCTGGATGCTGATGGCTTTAGAGTGATTAGGAGAATGCAAATATATCCTTGTTTTATCTACTCAAGTATCCATCAACACTTACCTGGTGTTTTTGACAATGATGCCGAGAAACACGAGAAGTTGATGAGGGCGTAGGAAGCCAAGAAGAAATTGGATATGATTGGAGCAATAGCATTCAGTTCACCTGGAAGGAAATACAACCAATATCTAAAATAATGAAACAAGTAATTCAAACTGAAATATTCTTCAAACTACTATATTAAAAGCAGAATTATCCTTGTTTAAAATAGAAATTATCATCTCTCAAATTATTTGAATTAGAATCATCATCTCAGATTTAAAAATAAAATGACCATCTCACATTGAAATAAGAATCTCAAATAAAAAAGGATTACCATCTTGCCGTAAATTTCAATCAAAAAAATAATCTCACAAATACTTTGAGTTAAGATGAGCATCTCACAAATAAACCACAATGACCATCTCAAAAATAATTTGAATGAAAAACTAGACTGATCATCTCACAACTTAAATCAATCTTCTCACATAGCATCACACAAAATTTAGATATGACACTTGATACCTTCAGATAAGAATGGATTATAATAATAATCACGCAAGATAATATCATTCATAAAAATAAAATAATGCATTAACCATGTATGCCTAAAGGACTTACCAAGAGCAATGAAGGCAAGAGCAATGAAAAATGTTAAGACATATGCCCTCTTAGGCTCATCTGTTGGGCCTACACCTTTAGCAAAGAACTTGGTTTTTGGAAAGACATTATCCTTACAGACAGCCTGTGAAGAAAGAACAAATAAATTAGTTAACAATGTTTCAACTTTGACAATCCAACCATGCATCATGCATCCACGCATGTTATCAATTAATTCACCAAAGCCGTATTTAATTTCACTTTTGTCTGTATGCCCATATATAGTCATATATGGTCATGATGTGACGTCATCATGACCATATTTAGGAATTTCACGTCTTTGTCAAGTCAAAGTCAAATTTGATAGTCTAAACTTGGCTTTATAAAAGGAAATATTAATGAGGCATATTTCCTTTATCACACATTAATATTTTAATGCAACCCTTCACCTGAAACACTTTTGGTGCACTGACTAAACTTGCGAGAGCGGAGGACAGTGTGGCAGCGAAGATACCGGCGATGATAAATGGTGCAAATGCCGAGATAATGTACGCAGCCTAAATTCAAAGATAAGACTTACATCAGTACAAAAATTATAACATATTGTAATGAAAGACTTCAGTAACACATAAACACAACATGAATCACGGTCTTGAAATTAATAATATGTCAGTACTATTATAGAAGCAAATTACGCCAAAGGCCTCTTTAGGCTTCAACAACCTGATCACCGATGCTTATTGAGACATACTGTAACAAATGCAATATAATTGTAATTAATGTATGTGTACTGTTTTTATTAGATTATGCTCTATATGGTGGTGTATCCGTGACACATATGCTGTGGTCATTCTTTTTAAATGTTCTTTTTATATGTATTGATAATACAGTGGTAAAGTGTAGAACATAATCCAAATGTAACTGTACATAATGTTCATGTACATAGTCTAGATGTACAGTTAAAAAAACAATATCACAGTACTAAACAGATAACTTAACAGATAAATAAATTCATAGCAATAGACAACACTTTGCAATAATGTGAGGAACATCTTACGCAATTATATCTAATGGGACACACCATTTATAATAATCAATATTTAGCTTATTATAAATTTATGAGTGAAAGGTTAAAATTTAAATATAAACCAGAAAGATAAAATCAAATCATCTTTTTAAACATATTTAAAGAGAAGCTATATTGAATCGAAATAAAGTATATCATTTTAAATAACACACATTTTTATAATAGATCGTGTTTAAGAAAGTATGAATTAACCATGAATTCTCACCTGCAGATCATTCAACAAGCCATACTCGCACGCTTTTCCGGCGCCACAGATCACAGCGGTGGAACTGGTGGTGGCGATAGGCCCGCTGGTGGGGATAGGCATACTGGTGGCAAGTACAATACCAGAAGTTACTGCATCAGCCACTGGAAAGTAATCCGCTATGTTTCCGGATGCTTCCCTGACCATAACGGCACCGAGCAACCAGACCAGGCCGATATATACGACCGACGTGATGCCGATGGCTAGAAGCGTCCCCTTGGGTATAGCCTTCTGAGCATCCTGTTAAGTGGAGATTCATACATGAAAATTTAACCATTGCAAAAGTGTAGTAGATTAACAAATTACTGAAGCTATTCTTTAAATTACACATCACAGACCACTGATATGGCTGTTTGCCAACACCTCTATATATATATATATATAAGATGTGTATAAGAGACAGGTGATTAGGAGAATGCAAATATATCCTTGTTTTATCTACTCAAGTAAGACATATTTATTACTAGTTAGTTTCGTGCTACACATACATGGTGCAGCACTCTTCAGATAAAATAGTCTAATTTAGACAATGCCTCAATGCACTTCACATTACTACCCCGGTCATTGGATCAAACACATATGGAACACATACTTAGCTCCCTGGGGAGAATTCCATAATATTGCAGCTAGTAATCAGTGCAGTTGTGTTCGAACCTACCAGGTACCCAATTGTACTCCTGGTGGAGAGAAGCAACCGTTGTAGATAAAGTGCCTTGCCCAAGGACACAAGCAATTTGCACAAGAGTTCCGAACCTCCGGCCTCGAGGTTGGGAGTCCAAGCCACAACCGATGCGCCAACCACTTCCACTATATATATATATGTATATATATGTATCAAATATTATCAGCAGAGTGCTCGATGGTAATGTACACACTATATAATTTTAATATCTATGTATAAAACTATTCATAATATTGCTCACGCATCCATTTCAGAAAATATTATTTTAGGGTTCTCTAGAGATAAGATATTGGATCAATTATATAGAGTGTGCAACCACCTCACTCCCTGGGGATAATTCCTAGTGATGCAGTTAATTTAGCAATGCTTAATTTAAATAACTGTCTTGTCCAAGGACACAAGCAAAGTGACCAACATTGATCTGGAAATGTCACAACCCCTGGGCTGCAAGCTTAATATATTACCCTAATAAATAGGTTCATTGGATGTGAAGTATGTTTAAAATAAAGTATATAAAATTTTGTTCCAATAGGATTTAATTCCTCCTACATTTAAAGTCTAACTTCTATCCCCCCACCCAACTCTTCCACATAATTAAAAAAAAAGAATGATTTTAACAATAACATTACCCCCTCTAACTTACTATTTTATGCGAAAAAAACTCTACTCATAATCTGTCCATATATATGGGTATGATATGACATCATCATGTCCAACTACAATTGTGCAAATCACACAAATTGATCATAAAAACTGATAGTGTGTACACAATATGTTCACTTTTTCAAAAACAAATATAGATTTTTGATGAGAAAGGATTTTTATACATCTGGCCTTATACTGTATTTGACATTGGAACGGAAAAAAAGTCCATAGCTCTCAATAACCTCACACAAATTGGAAACCATATCACAATTGTAATGAAAGGATTAATCTGAACGTATTCTGGTTAAGGCGTCATTCTCTATGGTACTTACAACAATGATTGTTAGTGAATCCAATACACAGAAGCATTATCCTTAATACATAAGGTAAAATTAATCACTCTTTAGAATAGCTTCTAGTATCAACACGTTTATCAATAGTGACGGAATAGAAATTTCAATTATAAACAATGTGGACAACCATCATCATCATAGGGACAGAGGACACCCATAACAACAAGATCTGATTTATCTTTTTGTTAATTCTTAGCATGGTAATGATGAATTATGTTTCAGCATTAGCTATGATCGGGCATCTAAATGGAATAAATTTGGTTACGTATATCAAACTGCAATTTTAGAAAGCACTGAATTTAGTAATTACCGTAGCTAGGTTAAAATATTTTTTAATTTAAGTATATATGACAATATTTTCTAAATAGCATTTTATATTTGCATTTAATTGTTTTAAACGCAACTTTGCCAGGGACATATTTCATGCGGCAGTCCACGTGTCCTAGCACATCATCCTGGATTTCCTGCAGAATATGAGTCAATTGCCACAAAATATGATCATGTGTTATTAATCTGAATTTCCCTTATATAGTTCATCTTGAGCACCATGATTAGTCATAGACCAGTAAACCTTAAAAAATTCTCTATAATGCGCACTATATTGACCATTACTATAATATTATTGTAATGAACTATCATGCCTATATCATTAAAACAAATGCCACGGATAGGATTTGTTTACTATCAAATATGAATAAAATATGAGCTATACATTTATAATTCATTAAGATCGTGGATTGTAAAATCTGAAAACCACATAAAATCTGTCTAAAGTGTTTATCTGTCCAAAGGGACAGATAAACACTTTATAGACATTTTACTTACAAACTACTTATTAGCTGATCCCCTTCCCCTCTCCCCTCCAATCATATCCCCACTAGCACTGCCACTGCAGACTGTGAGTTAATCTCCATTTGTACAGGTATCTTTACATGTAGAGACTTTGTACAACATAGGGTCAAAGGTATTTCTTGCAAAAGACTGTATAACTATTTCAACCCTCCAGCAACAACAGAAGGAATGTAGATGAAAGGAATTGAACAGAAGACCCAAAGGCTCTGTCCGTCTGCCTGTTTCTTCACCTATTTGTAAGTGTCATGCTGTTTATCTGTACGTCTGCGAGTTTGCGACAGTTGCTAGTTTCCTATCAAACTCGCAGATACGCAATACATGCACAGTATTCCCTAATGAAGACAGCTGGCAAATAATACTGTATCCCTCTTGTAATGTCTTCAATGCTTACAGTCAATAAAAATCGTTTATTTCTAAGACTTTTGCACAAAAGTATTGTTTAGTTTCTGCTACTCAAAGAAGATATAGTTTGAGAAGGTTATAATCTATTATTTATCTAATCATCATGGTTATATAACTTGAGGACATCTGCATGGCAATAATAATAGAAAAAAAACAAAAAATAAGAGTAATGTAATTACAATAATATTTAAGGCATCTTGAATAGTGCATCTCTTATCTAAAAATATATTAAGCTTTATAACAAATATTAAAGAGCTGCTCAAGGAAACTTTCCTAACAAAAAAGCAAGAAATCAATGAAGATGCAAACAAAAGGGAAAACAAACAAAATAACAGTATTTCTCATATTGAATTTTCTCAGGCTGAAGGGTCAACCTGTTAACAAATACATTTCTATGCAATTGTTCATTCACCTAAAAAAACGATAGATCCAGTCATCTCCCTTTTTTTTTTCTACATTCAAAGGTTTGTTTTCTTAGCAAACCACAAGAAGTGACTTGCAGTTCTTCATTCATGATTGGTTTGTGAATAGGTTGTTCTTAAAACTTCCACATAATCATAATAAACACTAAGAATTAGTCTTCAAAGATACTACATGTCCTCCATAAAGTTGCTACATAGTAGCAAGAGCATTTTCACCGCAATCCTTGCACTGCATAGCTGTACCCGATGCAATTGGAACGCTCCCGATTCCACTGGCCAATCAGCATTGACAAAGTGCCAGCGATAGCGAGTATCGATTTTTAAAGAATCCAACTCGAAATTACAGAATTAAACTGGACACTTACTGCATCGTAAATTGGTCGTACAACAAATCCAACTCCACTCTATGTGAGTGCTAGATAACGCAACGCCGTCTTTGACTGTTGGATCGTCATTAAAAACGATCCACAGGATTGCATCATCAGCCAACGACCATCGGGTACACACTGCCACATATCTAGGTCTATCTTATTCATGCTTGATTATCCACTTTATGGCTTACAGTAGTTCCAAAAAAATTCAAATTACCAACATGTTTTGAAAAATTAAACCACTGCTAATTATTCAATAATTAATTCTAAATTGTGGAAAACTTTAATTGACTATTGATTATATATAGATTGTGATTAACAAAAATCATTAAGTTTCTAAGGATTTTTCTAGAAATTTTTTGACATTCGCTGCTTTGTCATGACATGACATACAGTTGATTAAAAGAGATTTTTCTTGTAAATTATGTCTCGATGTCATCACATTAAAGAGCAAGCCGTCAAATGGCAGCTGAGACAGGTAAATTCCTACCTAATTACGACGATTCATTCTTGATGTATATTGCCAATCAGCAGCATACAGTACAGTCAAAGCATTTACTTAGAAAAGTGTGTGGTCATGAATAATTAGACTTTCATGGTTTGATGTTGCTGCTGCCTTACATTTAATTTAAAGTTGCTGATTATGATTTAGATAATGATAAAGATTATGAATTAAATTATGGAAATATTTATGACTTAGGTTATAATTATTTATGATTAACATAATGATGATGATGATAATTATGTTCCTATAAGTGGCGAATTTTGTATTTGCTATCAGCTAGGACAATTAATTCATTCGTTCACTTTTATTTCAGATAATGTCCATATACAATACAAAAATAAATGCAAGTACAAGTATATGAATGCAAGTACAAGTATATAAAGTACAGAAAATGGCAATAAAAAAAAGTGGAAAGTGGAAATGACTGTTGTCTGTTCATAATAAAGGATACTACCTATCATGTAGCCTTGAATCGAAAAAAATAAATAAATATAAGAATAAAAATGATTAAAAAAGTTGTTAAAAAGATTTTTATGAAAGAAATTAGAATACAGTAAAGGCAAATATGGTCTGCCATGGAATTCAAAACAGAAACCTTCTGAGCACAATTTTTAAGAACAAAACTTTACATACTAAAAACTTGATAAAAAACATTCTCCAGCTCTTGACAATTATTTTGATTATTATCACTACACAGACTAGGAAAAAACTCATAACTTACACGCAAATCACCGGATATGTTGGCACCTGCCAAGATCCCAGTAGCAGCCGGAAAGAAGATGGAAAAGATGGAGAAGAAACTTTCTCCCACTGTGTATGCAGGCTTAAAGTTTTCTTTAAACGTCCCAGCTAATTAAAAATAAGAATATGGAGCATTATGAATCTAGGATAGTGCAAATGGAATATGTATATTTCAATCATTTCATTTCACATATTAAACTTGGAATAAACACTGAAAAGTTCACAATTGTTCGGAAAATTCAAATTAGCTTCTGTTTTGCATGATTTCTTGAGCGTTCATCTTGAGTTCGCTTCAATCTTTTGGTTTTATTATTCATGATTTAAGCTGCAACAGTGATATTAGGAAGTCAGAATTGACAAAGCTGGAACAATTACTCAAGAAATCATACAAAGCAGAATCTGATTTGAAATTTCTTAATTTCACATATTCCTGAAAAAGCATACATAAGCACATAGACAGAAGTAAAGTGAGATCTCTGGCTGAAAAGTATTAAAGAATGTGACTCAAGTAGCTGTCCGAGGCCAGTTTAATAAGATACAATTGATTACGCTACATTTGGCACTATACAACTTCTTGTTTACACATCTTTACTAGAAAGCACGAAAGTAAGAATTTCCATTCTGAATGTTAATGTGAGTTAAATTGCAAATATATTTTCATTTACTGTAGCCTACATTTATTGAGTCTAATGCCTAAATGTATAATATTTTCCACATGATAACAATGAATCTGTTACGAGATCCTACATTAAAGAATAATTCCATCACATTTCTGCAATCTAATAACTAATATAATTACCACGGTTGATACCAAAAATGTGATAAATGAGAATCCGCGAATCATAAGAAACTTGAAACACATGCCAACAACGACCAAGCATACAAAATTTCTCATTCTACAGTGCACCATGTGCATTGTGCAATCAGTCACAGCTGAGATACGATGTCAAGAGTGTACTTGGGTGTCAAACACACCAGTGTGTCGAACATCACTGCATTAATGTTGTGTGAACATACTATCAACCTCTATCAACCTATACACTGGCTTTTATAAAAACTGTCCATACATGCTCCAAATCTATTATATTATACATCAAATAACTTGATCCATTGATAATATGAGCTGAAAAACAAGCATTAAAAAAACCTTTTGCATCTTCTTGTACTTTCAAATACACATGACTAGGTCAAATGTCAATACAGCAATCTAGCCTATTACGACACCTATAAAATAAATGACCAAAATAAATATTACGCAGTAAAGAACATTCCTTACAATAATAATAAGTATTGAATACTCAAGTAATATAATACATAAATCTTACCATTAAAACCTACAAAGCCTTTGGCAATCTCATCGTGAGTTGGTGGAATCGCTGAACCAATTAGAAGTACGATGATGGAACAAATTAGGATGACAAGAAGAATCAACTGGGCCTATAGAGAACATTTGAAAACAAAATAATATTTTCATTGATATATTGACATAAGTTTTTATATACAGTAGATACATATAGAGATGTAGGATATATCAAAATGCATACGTATCTTTTACTTTGATTACTTATGTATTTTTTTTTTTTTTTAGAAATCAAGGAATTCTGATATTTTACCTTGCATTTTTTTTTTACATTTTTAGGTAGCCATGTAAATGGTATGGTCAGGAATATCCAAAACAGATACAGAAGCCTTATTCAGAGGAAACTCCTATTAGGCAGCCACATTGTTTTGGTCATTGAAGTGTCCTCTTCTCATGAATTCAGAATGGAATTATTTTGCAAACACTGTTACAAAAGTTTTGAGGTTAAAAAGTGAAAAATGAGCGACTTCTTACCCGTGCTTCCCATGCCATGCCTATCATTGTTATACCGAGACAGACAACTAACGTAGTCACGCCAATTATACGCACATCATTGATCTCATCAACCAAAATTAAATTATTATCCTACAGAGGAAAAAAAAAACAGAAACATGTTATTTAAGACAAAAAGGAATGGTTAATTTTTAAATTCATCAGTGTTATACAATATTTGAAGAATGGTAGTTAAAATACTTGCTTGTTGAAATGCATTATCTCCTTGTGATAACAGCACATTTCTTTCTAAAGGGGTCACATGCTGTTGGTCGCACATACAAAAATATTTACTACCATTAGGGTACTGACGTTATCTGTTATAAATTACAAATTAATTCATACAAGCTATTTATTACTAAAATGATAAAAACTGACTTGGAAAATGTTTTAAACCATAAAGGCTCACTTGAGACACATCTGGCCCAAAACAGAAAGAAATGGCATGAAATAGTAAAACGCACTATGTCAAACAACGATGAAGCATAAAGATGATGAGATGAATTTATTACTTAAATAAATGAAAAACCATTGCAATCTAATCAATATTTAATTACACTGTGGACTGCATGTTGATTTACGAGATATTCATGTAGATATATATTCACTAAATATTCTTATAGAAAATCCTACTGTTTGTACACCCAAGGACCACACATTAGTTTGAGAATTGCACATTCACTACTTCTCATCGGGTATCCAGGAATTTCCAATGGGAAAGGAGAGGGGAGGAGGTCTTAGAAAAAAGGCACCATAGAGTATGGTAAAGATGATCCTCAAACAATATTATCATTAAAAATGCAATATTATCTATTTAGGACCATTTTCTGTTTTATGTTAAGTACTCCCACACCTTTGGTGTATACAGTGACTAGTGGAAGATCCTGATCAATAACTAGAAATTGCAAATTGCAAGTGAAGTGCTGTGAAGTACAACTGCATATAAATGTTCTTCGAACAAAATTATTTATGTGATCAAGTGAAAATAATGAATAATAAAAATATAACAAATAATATGAGACACGACCCATTATCTATATTAGAACACTTCTCATTGGGTAACAAAGTCCTAATTTTTCATTTTTGTCAAAAAGTGTCTATAGTGGTGAATTATGGTTTAGGTTTTTTTTAATAAAGTTTCAAAAATTTCTATGTATGTGGAAAATGTAGTTGATTACCAAAGGTTACAATTTTTATTTTGAAGACTGCATGGTCTAGGAAGTGTACATTTTTTTAGTCTAGTCTAGCTAGTCTAGAGTAGAATAAGGCTAGCGCGACATGCGGACGTTGGTACGTGTTGGTTAGTCTACAAACGTCGCCTAAAGTAATTGATTTTACCAGGCAGAACAAAATAAGGAAACTCCGCTTTTCAGTCATCTTAAGCCCTTGTTTTTTGACAAGCAATGACCTTTCAGAGGTCAAATTGCTGTCAAGAATATGAATTGGCTGCTTCGCAGCAATAACCAATAACCAATATAGAACCACAGATAGGAGAGGCTCTCCAAACTGATTTAGATTGGGAAACTGTAACTGAAACTAGGGAAGAGGTCAAGTGACTCATCTTAGAACTACAATCTGTCTGCTAGGGACACTTTCTGTCTGACTTTTTTTCGTTGTAAAACAACTACCCAGAGTGATGACTACGCAAAGACTAATGTCACGAGACCAGCAAGGAAAATAGTTTAATCTCCAAAATTCCCATGACTACCATTTTCTCTAGGCCTCTGTGTTATAGTACAATAAATTCATAAAAGGAGTATAACAGATTGGTGTTACTATGAGAAATGCCAAACCTTACAAAGGTGTTGGCAATAAGGCAAAATGCCAATACTTGTTTATACCCATAACATTCCATCCATTCAAATACGCTTTTTTTAGTCTAGCCATGGAAGTATAGTTTTATACCACTATGGTCTGCCATATTGCAATGAGTTTATAATCCTTTAACAGTAGTAACTCATTAACCACAGCATGGAACCATCTATGTGATGATTTAAAAAACAGTAAATGTTATTTTCAGACCTACACACATAGGAAGTGGAGTTGTTTTCGTCATGAGCAAAAAAGAGGGGGCTCTAAATTTTCAAAAATAAAATTGGAGAAAAAAAATAAAATTATAATCAAATTTAAGTCTAAGAATGCCATTTCCGGTCCACTAGAGATGCTATATAATCAAAAATTTTCTTGCCTCAGTCCCAACCATGGTGACGCTGAAGTGGGTGGACCCTCTATCTGTGAAAGCCCCTCCCTGGGCCCCTTTCAAATTCTTGGATCCGCCACTGACATTTTTTTTTAAAGCTAGGAATAATTCTTGAATTGTAAATGATTCCATTCAAGCTACATGTTTTCCATTGTTTTGTGATATGGCTCGATTCAGCTGATTGATTATTGACATACAAATCGGGTGGGATTGAGTTACAATATCATTATTACACTGTAGTTGAGTAACTGTTGGTGAACAAATCTAGATAGCTAGCTCATTTATAGGAATAGATATTTAGCGACAAAATATGAATACACACGTACAATTAAAGCATTTAATTACTCATTTAAAAGGATTAAGACGTTGGCTACCAGCGAGGAGTATACTCACCCACAGAGTGTTACTGAGGGAAGAGCATACTAGCATTTATAACTTTATTCGGGGAAGATACACCTAGACGATAATGTACAAATGACGTATGTATGTTTGTTGTGTTATGTTGCCCGTAGTACACTCAAATGGTACAAGTGGGGGCGCCCTTTGAACATATAGCAACCCATGCAAAAAGTGGATGAGATAACTCGCACTTGGCATAGTCAATAAAAACTGCTATCACAGAGCCGTCAACGAGTTTACTCACCTCCTAATATTTTCCACCAATTTATTAAACACATCATTTTGATGATATATGACTAGATAAAAAGTTCAAAAAAGTATGTTTGTACATGTAAACTTGTTTTGCGGGAAGGAACTTTAAAAAAGGTCTAGCAGTCAGCGTGTTAAACACATCACAAAAATTTAAGTTTTCTCTGTTTCACAGCCTTTTTTACTACAAACCTCATTTTAATTGCCTACTAGTCAATTTAGTCTTCAACTTAAAGTTATAAAGTCACAGCTAATATAACAAACTAAGAAATTGCATTTATTAGCTCTACAGAAATAGTTTTCATATGACATACAAAAAACAGAATTATAATACCGGTATTCTATCACTTTCACATCTTCTACTTTCCTGAGAATAATAAAATCAAGACAAGTTTATATTTAGCATTAAGGCAACATACAAGGAATATTAATTCTAGTTGTTTACTCCACAAGAATTTAATTTCTTCTTATTTTACTGTGATTGTCTTTATTATATCGATGGATAACAAACATTTAGTAATGACCTAGGACAAGACTTCTTTGAATCAACAACAGGAAATTAGATTTAGAAAAATCATAAGGTATGAGATTATTTAACTTTACTGCTTCTTTTTATCACTTCATTTGAGTCAAAGATTTGAAATTTTCTACAAAAAATATAAATATCTTATTTTATCTGGTAGCAGTTTGGGGCAGCAGGAACAGTTTGATTTTCCAACATCGAGGTTGTGGTTTTAATCCCCCACTGTGCATTTCACTTGTGTACTTAGGTAAGGCACTTTACCTGCATTGCTTCCCTCCACCAAAGAGTACAAGTGGGTACCTGGTAGGGTTAAATGCCCAAATGCATTGATGTAGCTGCTGCAATGTTATCGAATACACCCCAGGGAATTTTTGTTCTATAGGTGTTTAATTCAACAATGTAATGACAATGTGAAGTAGATAGATACAGGGCTTAAATATATGTGCTATATAAGTCTATTATTAATTATTATTAATTATCTATTTATGTAGAAAGTCAATCTAAAATGTTGTCCTGAGGAATTACTCCTTCTACAACTTATAGGCTGCTTTATAGTGTCATATATATTGGAAGTAAAATAAAGTAAAACACCAGTAAAGGAAATATAAAAATGTGGTATTTAAATAAATGAATTGACATCTCTTAGAGTCCCTACATTGAATATGCAGAAAACGACTTCTGTTACCATGGCAGTAAGCTATTTCAGTTAATGAAATCATTATGTAGAACTAGGTAACCTTCACACATTAGATACTGACATGTGAAATGATTTATCTGTTTCTATGTTTTAATAATGCAAGGTAATACTTTGGTATTTTAAGTACTCAAAATAATGACGCAATCTCTAGAGGTCATGACAACCAGATATAACTCAACACTTTCCATCATCTGACACCCACTATCAATTATCCCATATTAAATGTATCACACTTATTAAAAATTATATGATGGTAAAAATTCAATGAGAGCGTTCCATTGGTCATTTAAATGATTATAATATTATATTAAGTTATCAACGATTTACAGACTTTATAATTTACAGAAATGCATAAATATAACTCATTTTTATATCATTCCTAATATTGATAAAAATAAATGAAGCCTCTTACATGTAGTAAATCTCTTGTTGTTTCTGAGAATCCTACAACATACATAGCAACAGCCACAGCATTGGCTAAGGAGAATATTAGTCCAATCGAACCACCAAATTCCGGTCCTAGACTACGAGATATCATGTAGTAGGCGCCACCTAGAAAATTGAAAAGAAAAAAAGAAGTAGAGTATGAAACTTTAATTACTTATTATTGACATATCCTATGAATATTCTATTAATTTAATAATAAACAATAGACCAGTTGTTTTAATCTAATCATAAACATGTAAGTGATGTAATTTTTTATTTTTGTTTAGCCAGAGAATACTGGGATTTTATTTTTCATCTAATTACAAAATATTACAGTAATTACCTCCGCCAAGGAGTTTATGTATTAACTGCTGTCTGTCTGTCTGAAAATTTGCCTGAATATAACAGGCGATACAATTATTTTCTTGTGGGTATTCTGCAGCACTCAAGAAAACAATGTGCCTGTATATAATGGGTGATTCCATTATTTCATTGAGGGTATGCTGCAGTTTCACCAAATAATTATACGCATCCTATGTATTATTAGTACTGTATTCAGGCACATGGTGGAGGTATGTACTCTATGGAGTGACTGTCTATAGTTAGAAAGTGATTTGCTCAAAGGCAGCCAATTATGTTCCTTATTAATGCTTACTAATGCACTCAAGCATAAAATAGCCCCCACACCAATATCACAACACGCACCCACAAACATTTCCAAATACTAGAAAATATCACAATACAGACTACTAATAAACTATGGCAGTCAATAAAAAAGAAAATTGATTTAAGACAACAGTCTATTTTTTTCTACTACACATTCCATTTCCACGCATTCAATCAGTATAGTATAACAACACACACCCACATAATCATTACAATATAATGACCACATAAATACTGAATCACAAACTTCACCACACACACCTACATAAACATAACACAAACCAACACAATGCTGTAAGTAATGACATCAAACTAATTTTGTTATGTGTTATATTAATTTTGTTAATAACAAGGCTCTAAATTACTATATAATAATTCAAAAGTAACTATAATAACAATTCAGTAACAATTAGCTAAAATAGTTTAAAATTAAAACATGAAAACTACAGAACAAAAACAGAATAAAGAACTGATTAATTAGTGAGACAATGCGAGATGATAATGATATCATGCAGCAGAGCAGGTCCTTATGTGTTAGGTTGAATATTTATTAATTTTGAAACAATTTATTAATTGTTCTCTTTTTGCAAAATGTTACATTTTTAGTTCTTTTCTGTACTAATTTCTATTACATTACTTTATGGTCCAATTACAAATGTAAAACTACTCATGACTTACTACATGTGTTTTATAACAACTCACTCAGGATGTTGTTACACCGACCAAAGCACTGTGTTCGTTTCTTTAGGATTTCTTTCATTTTATGAATTAGTCACAGTTTTTGGAGCCAGATAGCTAACTGAAAATGGAATGAGCTATTGTACTAGCCATGATATAGACTTTTTAATATTAATGACTGTTATTATTTTTGTCCTGTACTATGGACTGATATGTCTGAAATAAAAGTATTACAATATCATTTATAAACAACTCACAAATTTTAATAGAATACATATAAGTGTACTCTATGTCGTCATTGTGTATTCTACTACTATAATAGTTAGCTCTCATGATTTGGCTTGAACATGTTAATACAGATGACAGCAGTCACTGAATACTCTTTAAACCGCAATCCTAGATTCCGCATCAGCCGTCGATCTCCGGCTCATTGCAAATGAACACAAATAATTACATATCATATACATCATCTGCCTTTGGGCATTTTGATAAGCCTGAATGACAAAAATGGTATGGAATTCAAAGTCACCTACTCCAAATGACGTGAATTGTAAGCTCAATTTTTCTGGTACACATACCACAAGTTATTAGTATGTTATTTTAAAAAGTATATGATTTTTTTAAAAATTTGATATGCATATGGTAGTATCTAAAACTCATACTGTAGTTCATTGAGTATGAGCTTGTTATTGAAGATGACATTGGGCCAATTATGGAAATGGTCTTATAACAGGAGAATCCATTTTCCAAGCGCCCTCACCTCCCCTCCCCCACAAAAAATGGTGGTTCAAACTGACAGCATGTCATATAATATGTAGGAATGGCAAACCAAATGACTATTTCTCCACACTGCATACTGTACTGAATTAAATGTCAACCTTTTCATGCATTTCACCCCTAAAATTAGTATTTGTAGAATTCAACTGAGCTACTCATTCAAATTCAAATTTTAAAATTGAGCAACTTATGGAATAGATTGCAATAAATCCATACCACACTGCAACAGTCAAAATGGTGGGAGATGATTGATTTCTACATTACTGAATAGATAAGTTGAGAGAATCACAGGGCTAGAAATTTACTTTTTCAGCCACTAGCAAACTATTGATAAAATGTGCTAGTTGTTAAAAATGTAACTAGCAAAATGAGCTTCTCAACTAGTAAAATATATTGATACCAACTCAACATATTATTTTCGTAAAATAAATTGTATGAAAATAACTAATGATGTACTTCTATAGATTTGTGTGTTAAATGTTTTAATATAATATTTTCTGTTATGGTGAGTGTAGTACAATAAATATCACAAAGAAATAGCCAAGTGAGTATAAAAAATCGATTTCTATACCTTGTACATTTATTCACTTCAGTGTCAGAAAATGTTTAATATGAAGAAAAAAAAATCATGATACAAAATAAAAATTTAATATTATACTTAATTTATTTTTAAAAATAAGTTAAGTTTATCATTCATTTAATTTTTATTTTGTATCTGTGATTTTGTTTTCATATTAAATATGTACTGCTTATTGGAATTTTTCAAAATAATATAATTATAAATAAAATTTATTTTATATTAATTTTATATCATATTATTTTGAAAATTTAAAAAAATATACTTGTTTATTGTCACACCCTCAGAAATATTCAGGGGCAGGGGGGAGTTTTTTTTTTTTTTTTGCCAGACTAGCCTTGGCCTAGATAGCCTAGGCAGGCTTAGCTAGGGGCTAGGCCAGAGATTTCAAAAACTGCATTGGTAGCAAGCCAAATCTTTGACAGAAAAAGGCCATAACAGAAAATCAATTTTACATAAAAGATTTGTTTGTAAAATATTTATTTTGATAGGCCTTGGTCTTTTAAAGCTGAGGCTAGACGTTTTGTTGGCGGCCGCTGCTGCAGTAGTAGGCCTAGCCTAGGTTAGGAGGTCTACTACTAGAGTACTAGGCCTAGCCAGACTAGCTAGGCTAGGGTCTAGTAGGCTAGGCATAAAACATCTGCCAATTGAAGCCTAGGTTGTAACCTATTATTTGTCTAAGCTTCATAGTAAATTATTATTATCATATC